CTGAAAATATATATAAATATTAGTACAGTACATATATACAAATGTCTCACATAATAAAATAATGTTAAATTCAATTCTTGCCTCTGAAACTAACATCAAAGGAATACTTACATATAAAGTTCTCCAAGATGAACCATATACCATGTCATATCACCTATGCTACTTGTAAGAAATCAAAGAACTAATCATCCTCAAATGAGTGCTCAGGTAATCTATAACTAAAGACACCTATGCTTAATTTTGCTACTTTGATCAGCAGTGTCAAAAAACCAGCACTGAACATAATGAAACGGCATTTTCTGGGTGAGACCCGGAAACTTCCCGGAGCTATACTGGGCTGATGTTTATATATGAGACCGTGGCAACAGTCAATCGATGGAGTTCTAGACCTACTGGGGATCAGAGCCAGAACCTGGCCCCCCTCAACAGAGGGACGAGGAGCAATGGCCTAAGACACCCCTATGTAATTGGAAGCAGTCTATGCCTGCCATCTATCTACCTGCTCAGGTAACCAGAAAAGCAGGAATTCCAAAACAAACTACAGGTGGGACAAAAATTGCAAACTGAAAGCAAAACTAGCAAGCAGAACTAACTCCCCAATCAAAAAGTCCGAGAAAACTTGCGGAATGGGGCAGAAGTGAAATCCACCCGAATGCAAGCTGAAGCGGCTCTGCCAGCCTGCATGATACAAGGCGGCAGTATTCAGCATAAGATGACGGTCCTGAAACAACCAAGAGAGAGAGAAAGGACAAAACAACTCTATCAGAAATCGAAGAACACCTAGGAGGAGACAAAAAGTGCCGAAAGGATCGCCAGGCAACATCATACTGCCTTCGAGATGACACTCGCAGGTGGGACACCATCAAGGAAGCAACCTGATTACCACCCAAGTGGACATAAACCAGAGTAAAAAAGACCAGACACAAAGAGCGTAGAAGATCGAACCAGCCACGCCTGACAGCTGGGTGGACAGCGCTTCGGATTCGTAGTCCTGAGGTTCTGGGTTCGATTGCCGGTGGAGGGGGACATAAATGGGCAAAATGTTTCTTTCACCCTGATGCCCCTGTTACCTAGCAGTAAATAGGTACCTGGGAGTTAGACAGCTGCTACGGACTGCTTCCTGGGGTGGAGGCCAGGTCGAGGACCAGGCCGCGGGGACACTAAGCCCCGAATTCATCATCTCAAGGATCATCTCAAGAAGCAGCCACGTGCTATGACCTCGACAAAAGGACAGACCCCCTCGACTCTGGCCGGCTTGGTGAGCACTAGTCACAAAACCCCAGCCAAGGGGCTCTGAACACATCGAGTGAGGGCTCATGGAGGCGCCACGGTACAGAACCGCAAAAAGACCAAAAAGGAAGCCGACAAATGCAAAGCCCCCGGAAGCCGAACCCAGAGGTCGCGAGAGAGGCGAAAGGGACGTCCCTGAGAGTACCATAACAGCCGACGAAGCACACACAACCCGGCGGGTAGACCATCATGGCAAAGTTCAGGCTCCCACACAAATTCCCCGAGCAACTGCTGCGTGACCCGGGACCCTCTTAGGAACAGGATGCAGCTGAAGCAGAGACTCCGGAGGGAGAGACGAGAAAGCGGTCCAAAGTCCCACACAAGACCCAGCCAAGACCGAACCAGAGAGGGAACCAGATGGAACTTCCTCCAGTTCACCAGGATCCTGGACCCGGCGAGCTGAGAAAGAACCAAATCCCTGGCAACAAGACACGCAGACTTTCTGGGAGCCCACACCAGCCAGTCGTCAACATAGGCCAGAACCAAAACCCCGAGTGGTTGCAGATGGGCCACCACGACCCTGGTAACACGTGTGAAAACATGAGGTGCCAGATTCAAGCCGAAAGGAAGGCAATGAAAGCTTTAACCCCGACATCCCACAACACAACCGAGCCAGTCCCTGAACCCCGGATGAATCAAGACGTGCCAATAAGCGTCCCAAAGGTTCAGGGACACCATTCAAGCACTCGTCTCCAGAAGAAGTCGAACCTGGGACAGTGGAGTCATCCGAAAGGAGGGGACAAAAGACCCAGGGGTTCAGACAGGACACGTCCAGTTTGAACCTCGGGTCCACACAGTCCTGTTTCGGGACTGGAAACAGATGGAAAACCCATCTGAGGGAGGTCGTCATTTCGACCACACACAAGCACACCCACTCCAAGATGACCCGACAGCGCACAGGAGAAGAGTCCTGCTCGCCAGTCCCAACCCCCCCGAAGAAGGAGGGGCCACTCAACGCCACCAATGGCTGCTCGAAATGACCCAAAAAACAACAAATCGTGGAACCAGGCATGAGCAAAAAGAGCAAGCCTCCCGCCCAATGCCCAGTCTATGTGACAAACTGTGAAAGAAACGACACCCCTTACGAGAACCCGACCTTCACACAGAGTGATTACCACGCCGACCAAACGAAAATGGATCTGAAGGTTGCTCCACCCCCGAAACTGGCACCAATGGCCTATCACGATGCGAGGCACCTCGTGCCCTGGCACGACCCTTCCGGGAAAGATACCCCACGGGGCACCCTGGAGAACCAACAAGTCCGACAATGGACGACAACTGGCAGAAGCTGCCTGCAGATACTGCCAAACCACAGAGTCCACAAACCTATGAGCCAGGGCCCAAGCAGATTCCAAGGAGGACGCAAGCACTGCCTGCTGACACATGAGACGAGAAGCAAACAAGAGAGACACCGCATCCCACAGGATTGGTACGAACAGCTTAAACAGGGCAGTCAACACACGCGCAGCCAAGACCAAGGCACCAGACCCAGGAACGGCCCCAAGCACCTCCACATCCTCCTTAAGCCAATCCAAGGACAGCTCCAGGAGGAAAAAGAAAAGCAAGACAACAGGCTACGAGCGAGCAAATCCTCAGCAACTAGTGTAGCCGAGAGGGTGGGAGAACCTGCACACGAAGCTGCACGATGCCAACATCCCGAGGAAGGGCAGGGGCGATCAAGCACGCATTGAGGTGATCAAACTTGCCCCCCAGATAAACCTGGACTACTGTCAAAGCCTTTCGGCATTCAAGCGTGCGGGAACGACAGAACATATGCCATGCCTCCAACGAAAAAACAGGGCAGTCCCCAAGCTACGATGACTCCGGAACCTAAGAACAAACCCAATACGGAAACGAAGATCCAAACCTGAATGAAGATGGATCCATTAAAGAGGCATAATCCGAGTCGTGCAGTGGGCAAGCCGCAATTACCTCCCGCACCTCATGCGGTGGGATGCGGGAAGCTGAAAACCTCAGGAAGGACGGGACAGACGGACCCGAAGGAACATGAAGGGGCTGACACCAAATCCAACTCGTGTGCCACCTGCTCAGGCGGCGCATAAGCAGGCCGGAGTTGAAACAACGCACGAGACAGCTTGCAAAATGGCGCAGAAGTTACAGCAATACAGAAAGCAAGCTAAAGCGGCTCCGCCAGCGCCGCCCGATACGAGGCAACAGTATGTGGCAAGATGACAGCCCCGAACCCCCACAAGCGAAGGACGAGACCACGCCAATAAAACGCAACTACCGAAAAAATTACAGAAGGAAAAGGAAAGACCGCCAAACAACCTCACACTGCTGCCAAGAAGAAGCACGCAGGTGGAACAACATCAACGAAGCCACCTAACCACCAACAGAAGGCGTGAGACTCAACGCAGAACCGAACCAGCCCAACCATGGACCAATCGAGCCTAGGAGGTGGAGCCGCGGGAAGATCTCGGGTGCGACCACTGAACAAGCAAAGCCGGAAACCCAAGCCGGCAAATTTGGATTTGCCGACTTGGCAAAAGATTTCTTGGCAGAAAAATTTCCCAACGCCAGCAAGCTCACCAGGAAACCGGAGACTACGGTTCCGACGCGAGACTAGAGAAGGGACACTGCAAGACCTTGAAAATGCTAACTGTCAGGGTAAGCTAGGAAACCAGGAACCCAAACTTGGCAAAAGACACAAACAAAACACACAACAATGTGTACGATAATATGAGAAAAAAACAGAAAAACATAAGAAAAAAGACTAGAAGAACAGCCCCAGCACCAGCGGCTAAAGACAAAAGTGTAGAAGGAAGATGAGAAATGAAGAAGGCAGGTAGCAAACAGGAACGAAAGGGACACGGCCAACAACACACAGAGCTGCTGGTCATGTTCCAAGATAAGACTAAACTGAAAAAGATGAAAAGGTTTGCCACCAGACTAGCACCTGAGCCGAGGGGTACGAGCTACAAGGAGAAACTACGGAAATTAAATCTCACGTCACTGGGAGACAGAAGAGCTAGAGGGGACATGATCACCACATTCAAGATTCTCAGAGGAAGTGATAGGGTAGATAAAGTCAGACTATGGAACCCAAGGGGCACATGCACCAGGGGACACAGGTGGAATTGAGTGTCCAAATGAGCCATAGAAACGTTAGAAAAAAGTATTTCAGTGTCAGAGTAGCAGCCAAGTGGAAGGCATGAAGAAGTGATGTGGTGGAGGCTGATTCCTACACACAGCTTCAAGCGTAGATATAGAGCCCAGTAGGCTCAGGAACCTGTACATTAGTCGAATGACAGGTGAGAGGCGGGACCAAAGAGCCAGAGCTAAACCCCCGCAAACACAACTAGGTAGGTACAGAGGCCATCAAGATGTCAGGCGAGTGACAGGTGAGAGGCAGGACTAAAGAGCCCAAGCTCAACCCCAGCAAGCACAACTTGGTGAACACAGAAAATCCAATGGATATGGAAGGGCTAAGCCAGGCACTGCAAGACTGGCAAGGAATGAGTGACCTAAATAAGACCACAAAAAAAATGCGACCATGACCCCCTTTGTAACAAAGAACACAGATGAACAAGGAAGACCCCAGGAAGAAGCACACAAGGGCCAAACAAAATGCCACAACCAAACCCCAACACGCATCCACAGTAAGAAAACTGCAGTAAAATGTCACCTCATAACATCCTGACACAGGAACATTTACCTCATAACATTCACTCCCCCCAATGTACCTCGTA